GGGTACAGGCCAGAGGCTGAGGGGTGGCGAGGGTCTTCACCAGAAACAGAGTGGGGAGCAGAAAGGCAGATCGACGAAGTACACTGCTGAGGGGAGCAGTGGGCCTGTCAGGAGAGGTCTGCCGCGCCATGTGGTCACCTCCAGGGCGGGCAGGGATCGAACTCATGCGGAAGTGGCTTTAGCTTCTCAGTACTGTGCTTTGACCCACTGTGCCACCAGGGAGGGTCCAGGTGGCCTCTTCTTTTCTCCAAACACTACCCTCAGTCCTACCCAGACTGCGGCTGTAGACTTGGAAAACTGCAACTTGGAAAATTTCCATAGTCTTCCTTATTTTTTAACCGTTCTTCAAAAGCTGGCACACCAATTCCAATTTGTTCCTGTGCCCACTGTATCTATTTTTATTGTGGGAAACTACACATAAAAAGTACCACTTTGTTTTTAAATACACAGTTGTGTATGTTAGGGACATCTCACGCTGTTGTACTAGCATCACCATATCCACATCCAGAACATTTTCCTCTTTCTCAACTGAAACTCGTACCCATTCACCATTTATAGTTTTCTAACACCTTTCTTTTCTTAGCAGCAGCAATACATGAGTTACTTCACTCTGTGCATGACACAGCAGTCAGAGACTAGCAGTAGTGGTTCTGGAGGTGACAGCAGTACTATTTTTTTTTTAAAGGTTTATTTATACAGAGTTGGGGTACAGGCCAGAGGTGCAGGGGCAATGAGAGGCTTCAACAGAGACAGAGTGGGGAGCAGAACAGGCAGACTGACTGAAATACACTGCTGAGGGGAACAGTGGGCGGGTCAGGAGAGGTCTGCCGCGCCATGTGGGTCAGCTCTGGGGACTGAACTCTAGCTGAAGCAGCTACAGCCAGCTTGTATAGCTGCATCCTATTTGCGCCACCAGGGAGGGCCAGCAGTACTATTCTGATTTAAAATAGGGGATAGCAGTTGTCAACATGTATTAACACGATGTGTTATCACAGTGCTGACAGCTTTACAAGCCTCTTCTCACTTAATCCTCATGATGACCAAGAGTTCTGGATGTAACTATGATCATGATGATGACGGGAACAGAGATTACTTACCTATTTTACAGAGGGACACTATCAAGAAGGAAAGGAAAAATAGAAACCAGTGGTTCCCACATGACTGCTACCCTTAAGAACAAGCTGTTTTCATAAAGGTAGAGAAACTAAATATTATGTGGCATAATGCAAAATTAAGGGTGAAAATTGAACAACAGAATTTAATGTTATAGCCCTATAACTTAAAGGTCAGGCTATTTTGAATCTGTAAATGCAGGTAATATCTTAGATCTGTGTTAATATAATAACAAACAGAATTTTGGGAATTCCTGGAGAAGCATGGATAAAAACACTGACTGCAGAGACTTCCGTAAGATGGCAGCAGGGTAAAGACACCAAGATCACTGTGTCCAGGCTTGCATAGGAATTGAGGACTGAAAATGGACTATAGACTTACTTACTGTAAGTTTCAACCCAAACAAAACACCCTGGACTCACTAGAAGGTAGATAACTGAGGGGGAATCAGTGATTGGGGAGTCCCCTTATGGAACTCCCAGGAAAACCCATACTACTGGACGTTGGGTGGGGGAGAAATGCAGGAGCCGCTTTGCCCCACACTAAACCCTGGAGGTGAAGGGGGACGGCTCAGCTCAGTGAGTGGACCTCAGGCTGTGGAAAGACTGCAAATCTGATCCTCAATACCTGGGTGAGGGAAAAACCACTGAAACTGCAGACCCCATCCGGAGTACCTGGGCGCTGCGAAAAGCCGATGATCAGCTCCACCAGCTGGGGAACCGGCAAGATAGCGGCACAATAAAGACGCCAAGAAGACTACATCCAAACTCACAAGGGATTATACAAAGACGGACTATAGACTTTCATGCTACGAGTTTCAACCCAAATGAGAACGCCCTGGACTCACTAGAAGGAAAATAACCAATGGAGAACCAGCGATTGGGGAGTTCCCATAAGGGAAGCCACACAGGCAGGATCAGCTAAACCCTTCAACTCTGATCGGGAATGCCAGCGGCTTCCTATTCGTTCGGCTCCCTTAAAAATCTAGGAGCCCTGGCCCTCCCTGGTGGCGCAGCGGGTTAAAGCACAGCACTGAGAATCTAAAGACGCTTCCGCATGAGTTCGATTCCCGCCTGCCCCGGAGGTGACCACA